AAACCGTTCTGTTTTAATACTGTAAATATGTCTATTTATAATACAGATTTCTGGAATTTAAAACACAATTTATTTAAACTTTGTGACAAAAATATATTACAAAAATAAAAATTTGTAAATATTTTTATGAAGTATTATGACAAAATAGTAATAAAATAATCAGTAATTTTTACGAATGTATATATTTATTTATTTATTCTTTATTGCACAATAAAACTTTGTACTAGTGGCGAGCTTAATGCCATATGGCATTCTCTATCAGCTAACCATTAGGTAAGAACAGAAAGCGTATGAAGGGCAGATGTGGTGAAAAATATCTGACATAATTACAGTATCATACTGAAATAATTATACATAATAATACATAAGATATACACATATAATACATAAACATTACTTATATAATATATGTATGTATGTAATGTATTACGAATGTGTTTGCATGGCTGTGTTTCAGTTTGAAGGGTGGAATATAGCAGTGAATTGACAGACTACAGAGGAATAACACCTGAGTCCTCCGGAATGGCAACACATGGGAGGTATCATGGGCGAAACAGTATAGTCTGTTATGTACATGATACTACTCATGTCTATAGGCGACAGTTACTACCACTTTCCATCAAATAACCCATCAGCTTGTTTGCCATTCTAAGTTGTATCAAAAAAAGCAGAGGAAGCGAAAGAGGTTTATTTGAATCGAAGCATTTGGCGTTCTATTGTTTCTGCCTATCTTAATGGGAGACAGGCGTGACAGATATGTATGTATGTATGTAACTATTACCAAAAATATGCTATTCGTTCATGTAAGAGTTATTATCATTAACTGTCCACTACTGAACATAAGCCTCCTCCTTGAGGGGGGGGGGTCTTGCCAGTAGACCACACCTGGCAAGCGGATGGGTGCTGCTGCCCATCCCTCACTCTCTCTTAGTCGGCTCTTACGACACCCACAGAAAAGGAAGGGGTGGCCTATTCTATGCCGGGACCACACGACGAAGAGAGAAAAACTTTTGCAAAATTAAAATTTAGCGAGAAATAAATATTTATCGAGAAATGAATATTTAATCACTCGTTGGAAACAAACAGGGTCAAGGCGATACTGAGAGATATTATATCAAATAAACGAGTTTATTACACTGCCTATCAAATTGCGATACTTTATCTTTGGTCTTTTAGTATATTAAATTTCCAATTTATAAAAGAAGTAAATCACAGATAGAGTTTACCATAAAAATAAATAGGATGGGCAGAAGTAACATTAATACTCCCGTATTTATAAATATAAACAGTTCAAAATTTCACCGTGTGTTTTTTTTATACAACTTAGAATGGCAAACAAGCTGACGGTACACCTGATGGAAAGTGGTAACCGTCGCCTATAGACATGGGCAGTACCATGGACATAACAAAGTATACTGTTTCGTCCATGATACCCCCCATGCGTTGCCATTCCTGAGGACTCAAGTGTTATTCCTCTGTACCCAGTAAATTCACGCCATATTCCACCCTTCAAACTGAAACACAGCCATGTAAACACAACTGCTTCACGGTTGAAACACGAATGGGCCACCCCTTCCTTGTCCGTAAATGTCGTAAGAGACGACTAAGGGAACTTCATGGTCGAGATATAATAGGATAGGGTTGCCACAAATTTAATCGAATTATTCGTTTCAAACAAAAAAAAAATACGATACGACACAAGTTACTTTCGTTTTGAACTTAATCTTATTGGTTTCTCTAAGTTATAGTTTGTTTTATTTGCTCTTCTAATATAGTTGATTGTTTGTTATAGTAAAATTTATGTATTTATTTATATATTATTTATTTATTTATTTTGGATATTTTGTGTATTATTATATTAGTGTAATTATATGTTTATAATATATGAATTTTTATATTTCTTCAATTATTAGATAGTCTCTTTTATTGTTACATAAATGGATATTATATATGAACGTATATATTATGTAATATATACGCTGTGGTATGTGTGTATGTATATGTATGTGTGTATCGGTATGTGTATGTTGCGTGTGTATATGTGTGTGTGTATATATGTATGGTTATCCATGCGTACCTTTATAGTTGTTAATGTGTAAATTAAATAATCTTTGTTGTATAAATTATATTGTGTTTACATACTTATTTAGCTATGTGTTTATGTTTTAATCATGCTGTGTACGCATATTTTTGGAGGGTTAGCTTGAACAAAATTTTATTGTACTATATAAATGAATGTAACATTGTTATCCGTAATGTGTACCTATTAAAATAAAAAAAAAATATTAATTAATGCACCGCCTACTTATTCCTCGGTTTGCCCAATGGTTCACAGGTAGCGAACACCGTCCGGTGTTAATTCCGCCGTACACAGTTTCACTGTGGATTAAAGTTTAAACAAATATATAAAAATAAGTATCGCGTCTCCCGTGCATGTAAGTGAGATGCACTCTCTGACTGCTAAGCTATTGCGTTTGATAGGATGTGTACGTATTGTATTAGTAAAGAAGATTGAAAGGTCGCAGTGTCACAAGTTTTTCTGCCTGAAAAAGCTGTTAATAACAATAATATGTAATATAATGTCAGTTTATTCTTATGGTATAAATATGGAAAAATGGACTGTATTAGAGGATTCGACTATAAATAACCAGGAATTATGCGAATGCTTATATTTCAAATACATTTCTGAACGACTTTCAGAAGGAGAAGGGTCTCGATTCGTTGTATTTTTTTTTTTTTCGTTAATATGAATATTACGTGTTTATATCTCTACAATTTATTTGACAAGTAGATATTTACAAAAAAAACGGAGAATTACTATAGACTAGTCTAGTCTAGTCTATGGCCGTATTTTAAAACTAATAAAATACAATATTTTGAATAACAAAACGTTTTACACAATAGATTTAACATATTTGAATTTAGAACGTGGAATATTCTATTTTCAACTGTTTTCAAATAGGTTTTGTTTCGCGGCAAATAGTGGTTACAATCGTCATGGCAATATCAACCCTATCGATTGCAAAATAAAAATCGGTTTATAATTTGCGAAGGCATCGCGGAACGTACGTACAAAAAATACGAATTGAGAATACGCTTCTTTTGAATGACGCTTAAAAAGATATTTGAGAGGATGAATAGATTGATCCTTTTCTTCTTCTATTTTTATTTACCTTGGAAGTACTCTACACGCTAGGGCTGGCTAATAAATAATCGATTATTAATTAATCGATTATATTCATTCAGAATAATCCAATATCATTCGGTCAATCGATCGTATCGGTACTGTCGATAAAATTAACTTTACCGACATGAAGTTTGTTTTTAATTAAATTTATATAATATTATAAAGTCTACATTAAACTATTTTAAACTATACATATAACCTTCCTCTTGAATAGCTATATCTATTGACGAAAATTGCATTAAAATTCACGAGTAGTTTAAAATTTCTAAACGTATACACGGCGATTAGCGACTTTATTTTATACTGTGTAGAGATTATATTAGAACACTTGATGCAGCACGACGAACTTATGAACATTATAATAGAAGGTAAGATAGAAGGAAGGAGGGGAAAAGGGAGATCAAGGCATAGTTAGATCAAGCAGATCAAGAAAAAAGTTGGTGTCGTGTCGTATCAAGAGGTGAAGAGACTCGCTGAAAATCGTAGTGAGTGGCAAGAGCTTCACCGAGAAAAGCGTAGCTCTTAAATAGGGTAGATAGATAGAGATAATGTAATCGATTATTAGATTTAAAACGCAATTCGGACAATCGATTATTAATCGATACCCACCGATTAATAAGTAACACTTGTATACGCGTGCATCCACCATAATCAATTCTCATTTTATTTGCGACTCGAGGAATCTCCGCTATAATTATATCAATCTCACGACGGTCCCTAATCCCAGTTTATCCTATTACGCAAATTGAAATTGGACCCGTGGGTTTCGTAAACTTCACTGAAATCTGGCGCCTTGTTCGAACCAAAGATTAACTCATTCTGCCCTTTTCACTATGCATTGTAAGTAAGTTTTAAATTATTGTAATCTAATATAAATCGTGTAATGTCTGGTGGAGTTATTATCAAGAGGTTCGTTTCGATTATGAGAGTAGAAACATTTTTCTGTTTTATGTAGGTATGTTTTATATATATATATATATATATATATCTTATAACTCCATTAGTTCCAAACCGATTTGGTAAATGCTTTTTTTTTTTATGTAAAAGTATATACTTACAGTTTAGTTCCATAGGAATTTTATTTAATTTTGTCACAATTGAAGTCATTATTTGTGGGATGCAATCTTTAATAATCTTTTGTGGGACATTATTAATCCGTAGTTACGAATAACCAACAATGACGTTCGAGGTGTGAAATGAACAAGTATCAAAATTATTTTTATGATATTTTCAATTGTTGTTTATTTTGTTTAATGTAAATCGAAATAATTGCATGACAAATCTATTTAAAAACGAGCAATTATATGTAAAATAATTAAATATAATCTAACATTTAAACTGACATTAGTGCATGTATATTAGCTACCTTTCAATATAATTGTGCTACACCCAAACAGGGTTCATGTACTTACGCATCATAACAACATTGTAACAACTCTATATTATGTACATGAATGCATTATAATAACAAATAAATAATAAATTATGCGCACACGCAATAATCAATAAATGGGTTTTTTATGCAATTAAGAATGACAAACTAGTTAACGGCCCACCCGATGGAAAGTGGTGACCGTCACCTACAAACATGAGCAGTACCATGGACAACAGAGTATACTGTTTCGCCCATGATACCCCTATGTGTTGCCATTCCTGAGGACTCAGGTGTTATTCCTCTGTACCCTGTAAATTCACTGCCAAATCCACAACTGCTTCATGGTAGAAACACGATTGGGACAGAGGTACCCAAGCAAACGACTTTTGTACAAAGTCTCCCTCTGTTTATAAGTTATAAAAATAATATTGTACTTACATGGATATATTGAGGAAGACAGATAGAAGGAACTCATTGTATATCGCCATTGATATAAAACGACTCTCGTTGAATTCAGATGGCGCTTTTCGCACCATGATGCAGAGCCTGATGCCCCACATTAGGAATATTACCTCCACTGTCAACAAAGAAATTAATACATTTAGAAACTGTCACAATTACTCATACTAGGGTGGCGCCCTCTATCGTCAACAGTTTATAAGCCACCTTCTTGATTTTAAGGCCGATAAAATTACAATTTTGTATAACCTAATATCTATATTATAAGCGAATGTATAAAAGCATATAAATTCATAAAATTATATATGTACATTTATATTTAAGTTTAAAAAATAACATATAGTCCTGGTATAGAATGATCCACTCTTTCCTTTCCCGTTGGTGTCGTAAGAGGCAACTAAGGAAACTTAATAGTCGAAGGTTTTTTATTGACGGGTGAAAATGGCATGGTAACCCCGCCTGCACTAACGGGATACGCTGGCGGAGCACCAGTGAAGGGTGATAGATGAGAATGAGAACAGGCCAGTTAGCCCATCATGATGAATTCATCAGGAATGAACCATGATAGTTTCCAGGGAGAACCGCGAGGAGGTCGTCCTGGTTGGGTATATTGCTAGCAATGGGATTCTCAGTCTCCATTACTAACAATCCCTTTCTCCCCAATAATCGAAGGGTAGGCAGCAGCGTCCCTTTTAAAATATTATCAAAAGTCAAACTGTGGTTTCCAATCCGCTTGCGCAGCGTCGCAACTACTGGTAAAATCCCCCAATAGGGGGAGATCTATGTTCAACAGTGGACAGTTACCAGCTGATATGATAGTAATGATGAAACTTAAAGAATATTTAATGGTATAAGTCTAACATTAAATGATATGTGAGCTACTGTCAATTTTTTTTTATACCACTGAGGCGGCAAACAAGCATATGGCCCACGTGATGGTAAATGGTTACTGTAGCCTATGAACACCTGCAATACCAGAGGTATTACGCGTGCGTTGCCGACCCTATAGAAACCTCTTTACCCCCTTTTGAAGAACCCCATGCTGTAGTCTCTTGGGAAAGGACCTCGGCAGGGAGCTCATTCCACAACCTTAGTGTTCGTGGGAGAAAACATCTCTGAAACCGCGCAGTACCTTTATCTATTTAATATCAATATTTTTACCAGAGGGAGACTTTGTACAAAAGTCGATTGCTTGGGTACCTCTGTTCCATTCGTGTTTCTACCGTGAAGCAGTTGTGTTTGCATGGCTGTGTTTCGGTTTGAAGGGTGGGATATGGCGTGAATTTACAGGGTACAGAGGAATATCACCTGAGTCCTCAGGAATGGCAACGTATGGGGGGAAAGAGTATACTCCGTTATGTCCATGGTACTGCTCATGTCTATGGGCGACGGTTACCACTTTCCATCAGGTGGGCCGTCAGCTTGTTTGTAATTCTAAGTTGTATATAAAAAAAATTACAACAAACTTTAATTGTTGACTTTCTAATTTAAAACTTTATCATTTTTGTAACTCAAGAGAAACCATCGGTCAGTAATGGTTAGGCTTAATTAAAAAAAATAAAGGATTTGACGTCATCTAGCTCTCGTTCAGAGGAGTTGATTGCGCCAATTAAAATCAAGGCCAGCCTCCAAATAAATCGATGTTTACGAACTATTCTCAGAGGTTCTCCTTTAACTTCGTACGCCCAGCGGACTAACTCCATAGTAACGGTAACTCAATTTTATTTATGAAGGCATTTTTCGCAGTAATAGAAGATATTTTATATTTATATTAATTTATCCATATTCTTTGATTGACCTTGTTGTCCTGGCATAAAATAGGCCACCCCTTCCTTTCTCGTGAGTATCATAAAAGACGACTAAGGGAGGGCGTGGGATGGACAGCAGCGTCCCTCTTAAAACATCTCTAAGTTAGTCTAGATAAGTGTGGCAACTACTTGAAAAACCCTCCAAGGGGAGGCTTATGTACAACAGTGGACAGTTAAAGGCTAATATTATAATTCGTATTCTATCATCATTATTTAGGGAAGCGATTCCTACAGGAAAATGTAGTCTAGGATGATCCTCACATCAAGGTCAAGCAAAAGTCTTAAATGTATTCTTAAAACTTATGTCGAAAAAGATCAAAAAAGAAGCGAGAGAGAAAAGAGAAGGGACGTAACGAAGAAGAGATTTACGAGTATTTAATAGCGTTTTTGTGAGAACGCTATTCGATTTCTTTACTATTGAAACTATAAACCGATTTTGATAGTTATTTTGCATTCAACATCGATTATTACCGTGATAATCCTCTTAAGTAAGTATAGGACTCTGATGGGAGTAAGCAATATGTACACTTATACATAATTTGTAAAATAAAATCTCAAATTACCAATGTAAACGATTAAAACCCTTCACCAATATATCGCTTTATAATTGCTGTTAAGCAAAAAATAATTATATTTCAATGGATCTTTATATAATAAATTATACTTTAAACATTAGACGGGATTTACTTCAATGATTTATGAATAAGAAAATGATTAGACTTATCATAATTTGTTTTTTTTTTTATGAATAAGATCTAATACACAATTCGTCGAGGGAAAGGAATGATTTATTTGAAATCGAAATGCAGGAACGAACCGATTAGATAATTAAACCGGCAAATCAAATTTCGAAAGCCAATTATTATGGGCTCGAAAAGTATTATGTTATTAAGGTTTCGTTCATTTAAATAATCTATAAATATTTTAATCAATGTATTGTTTACTTTATTACTATTTTTTTTTTATTTATGTATATATTTTATTGGAATTATTCTATTAGAAATATTTTGTTTAATTCCGCTACCATTAGTATGTGTGTGACTGCCAACACTCGAAGATTGACCACCACTATTACTACCAGAAATCTAATAATTTGGCTGAAGATTTTTTAACACAGGGGGCAAACGAACATGCGGTTCACCTGATGGTAAGTGTAGTACTACCACCGCCCATGATCACCCACAACACCAGCGGCGTTGCAGGTTTGCTACCGGCCTTTTAAAAAAGAATATACTCTTTTCTTGAAGGTTATGTTATCGTATCGGTTCAGAAATACTGCTGCTGGAAGTTGGTTCCAGAGAATGGTTGTGCGTGGAAGAAAGTGCCTTGAAAAACGCACGGTGGAAGACCGCCACTTGTCCAGATGATTGGGATGAAGCTTTAGTTTGTGGCGGGTTGTATGGTGGTGAAAATCAGCAGCAGGTATTAATCCGAACAATTCCTCTCTTGTTCATGGGTGAAACACGTGTCGCAAAAGGTGCGTGAACAAAATGGCAGTCGGAGATTGATGACTAATATGGAGGGTTGTGAAACATGCAATATACATGTTGGAGTTTTAAAATTATTTTCTTAGCGGATGCTTATGTTGTAAAATAAACCTAAGTTCTAATTTTTTTTTTATACAACTTAGAATGGCAAACAAGCTGGCGGTCCACTTGATGGAAAGTGGTAATCGTCGCCTATAGACATGAGCAGTACCATGGACATAACAGAGTATACTGTTTCGCCCATGATACCCCCCATGCGTTGCCATTCCTGAGGACTCAGATGTTTGCTTGGGTACCTCTGTCCCATTCGTGTTGCAACCATAAAGCAGTTGCGTTTGCATGACTGTATTTCGGTTTGAAGGGTGGGATATGGCGTGAATTTACTGGGTACAGAGGAATAACACCTGAGTCCTCAACAATGGCAACGCATGGGGTTATCATGGGCGAAACAGTATACTCTGTTATGTCCATGGTACTGCTCATGTCTATAGGCGACAGTTACCACTTTCCATCAGGTGGGCCGTCAGCTTGTTTGCCATTCTGAGTTGTATAAAAAAAATGGATCGTGTAAATCAATAGCGAAGGCGTTTTTATTTTCATTTAAAAGCTTCCAATCCAATTCGGAATGTTTTAATTTTTTTTATTATTTGAAAGTAGGTTTATACACTGTTCTTTTTTTAAAGGACACTTCTGATTGATATCCGGATTTTTCAATTTTTATTTCAATATGTTGTCTTTGTGTAGTGTAAACAATAGCGTAATCTGCTCAAATCCGTGAACCGTCTAAAGCGATATTTCCCAACGTGGAGCCCACGCCCCATAGGGGGGCAATTTGATAGTTAAGAGGGGGGCAATTGAAAAATGGACTCGAAGTGATTTTAGCTCTCTTGCCCCGGGCCATTTAAATGCAATGCTACGAGTAGATGTCGGTGCCAAATTAACAAAAAAAGTAAATAAAAAAAAATGCTGTAAATATTTATTAGGTATAATTTCGATTGACGTTACCAAAATATCAACTGGGCGATTGTCGTCAAGTAAACTTTGTCAGGAAAAATTATGTATGGGGGCATAAAAATGTTAGAAATGTTCAAGTGGGGCATGGCACAAAAAATGTTGGTAAACACTGGTCTAAAGAGTGGGTTTCGTTCGCCCACGTTACGACACTACGTTTGAATTAGTACACTCATTCGAGTGTTTACAAGTAAGATCTCGGTAAGCCAACAGCAGGTATCTGGCATTTATTTTTATTAAACGAATACATTTATAACAATTTACAGAAAGTAAAGCAAGTGTCTCAGAAAAAAAAGAGACTATATTTTGTTAACGAAATAATAATATATAAAGGCTTTATTACTATTATTATTAAATGGATAAACATATATGTTTGAACTATAAATGGGTAGAGAATAGAAGAGGCAAAATGCTGGGCCATCTTATACAACATGACGATTTTTTTACTTTTACTATGTAAAAGGAAAAATAGAAGACAAAAGAGAAAGAAGAAGACCGAGGAATAACTACATGGTACAGATTTTTTTTTTTTACAACACAGGGGGCAAACGAGCATGTGGCTCACCTGATGGTAAGTGACTACCGCCGCCCATGATCACCCACAACACCAGCGGCATTGCAGGTGTGCTGCCGGCCTTTTAAAAAGGAATATACTCTTTTCTTGAAGGTTATGTTGTCGTATCGGTTCGGAAATACTGCTGCTGGAAGTTGATTCCAAAGAATGGTTGTGCGTGGAAGAAAGTGCCTTGAAAAACGCACGGTGGAAGACCGCCACTCGTCCAGATGATTGGGATGAAACTTTAGTTTGTGGCGGGTTGTACGGTGGTGAAAATCAGCAGCAGGTATCAATCCGAACAATTCCTCAGAACACTCCCCATGATAAATTCGGTAGAAGATGCAGTTTCAGTGGATCAAGTCGGACAGTAAGGCGTTGACTATCGATAATTCGAGCCGCCCGACTTTGAATGCGGTCTAACGGAAGGAGCTGTGGCGCTCCTGCCCACAGGTGAGATAAAATAAATATAACACAGATAAAAGAAACATTAGGTGTCATGTCGTATAGAGAGGTTAAGGATATAGCCTGGGATAGAACTGGATAGAAGAAGATGCATGAAATAGTTGCACCGACAAGAGGAAACTCTTAAATAAAAAGAGAGAGAGAAAAGGATAAACTTATTTTATTATCGGAATTTACTAAGTCACTTAGAAAAAGTCACAAAAACTCAAATAATTTTCGTAAATTTTCGTCAGTTTATGACATATAGGTATTTATTTATTTATAATTAGTCACAAAGTGTATGTACAATTAATAATAATCTCACATTAAGTACGGTGATGACACTTTATTTATTAAAATGTATGAAGACATTTTAATTATACGTCTCGTCAAAGATCCGGACACAGTTACAAACATCCGAATCACATTACCCTCCATTGTATTACTGTCGGGTAAAAACGGTGCATTTACTAATGACGATTTCAAATCTAAAGTATCTTATTAATTATAGTTCTACGCAAGACATTAAATTTACTCTTTTTTCCTTATCGATCTAGAAAGAAGTTATAAAGAATTGAAAAAAAAACTGGGATATTAATTAATCTTTTAATACTGCCTCCATTCAATGAGAGATACGTATTCAAGACCCCATTTTCTCTGCCGTTTTAAAAACGCTGTTATTCACTGACGCCTTAGGCTTAAGTTAAAAGCCTTATTTGCATATGACACTCGCCTTCCTGACTTTTAAGTTTAGATACCACTTTCTTGTGTTTGATTATATCGTGAATTTTATTATTAAGTTTTTATATTATTTATTACTATCTTTTACCTGTGGCTTTGTTCGTGTGATCGAGATATGTTTATTGACCGAGATAAAAAGCAGCCTATATTTTTCTCCATCTCATAGAGTCCCAGTGTACCAACTTTCGTAGTGAGTGGTTAAGTCGTTAAAACGCTATAAGGCAACAAACGAACAAACTTACTTTAACTTTTTGTACATACATACATACATATCTGTCACGCCTGTCTCCCATTAGGGTAGGCAGAAACAATGGAATGCCAAATGCTTCGATTCGAACAAATCTCATAACATTTTGTAATTATTACTATTTAAGATTTTTAAAATTCGATAAAGTTTTTTACCTTTTATTCAATTGTATATATTGTACTTTAAATTTGCATATTAAATTTAAATGTATAATTATAGGTAGAGGGACAGGTAGGTAGTTAATTTTTGTGCGTCTGGAAGAGGTCGGTCGATAACGAAGTTTCAAAGCGTAAAGACGTGCGATGAGAGAGAAAACGTTTTATTATTATATACAAATCATACTAAAATAATAAAACTACAACTAGACAATTTCTGTACATGGGAGATATTTAAGAAAAAAATATTTAATGGATTTTAAAAGGAGAAATACGAGTACGTAAGCACCTCTGTCCCACTCGTGTTTCTACCGTGAAGCAGTTGTGTTTGCATGGCTGTGTTTCGATTTGAAGGGTGGGATTTGGCAGTGAATTTACTGGATACAGAGGAATAACACATGAGTCCACAGGAATGGCAACGAATGTGGGTATTATAGTGCGAAACAGTATACTCTGTTATGTCCAAGGTATTGCTCATGTCTATAGGCGATAGTTATCACTTTCCAACAGGTAGGCCGTTAGCTTGTTTGCCATTCTAAATTGCATAAAAAAGTACATAAAAGAAGTAATTTATAATTTTTCGTGAGTATGCCACCAGAAACACGTGTCTGTTACTTTATTTTCTTGACTAATTTCCCTAATTACATGGCTTCTTCATTAAACAGGTATATACAAGGCTGACTTATTAGTACACACTATGAAAGTTGTTTAATATAAACTTGCTTAGCAAATTTGAAGTAACAAATTGGTTCGTAATAAACCCAGATAGTTTAGATTGAAGACACTGAGCAAACAAAATGTAGGAGGAATAATTTATTGAACAAGAATATCAAAGGATATTAGTGTAGTGTTAGTGTAAGACTTACGTTTGCTTTGCTAGCTTAAAATTATAATTATCCAATATTATTAATTAATTAAATCAATAATATAATAATATTACATATATACAATATTATTTATTTATTTATTTATTTATTACATCCACTGGGTGAGTCTTACAGTCTTCCAATACGCTCACCCAGGAAAGCATGAGTACAATAACATATAAAAAGGAATATTACATAAAAATAACAAAAATAACATAAAAAGATTTAACTGAAACAAAAAACGTCTGAACACAAATACTCTGTGGTCACTCGACAAAACTCCAGCAAGTTAGAGGCAAATACATCCAATTGCGGATACTGGCTCAAAATATTATTGAGTAGTTTCAATGCAAGAGATAGGGAAGCTTACTTAGCCAATTCTGTTCTTCTTAATGGATATTTTTTTATTATTTATTATATATATATATATATATATATATATATATATATATATATATATATATATATATATATATATATATATATATATATATATATATATATATACCCCTCCTTTTTTATGGGTGTCGTAAGAGGCGACTAAGTGAACTAAATAGTCAAAAGAAGGACAGCAGCATCCCTCTTTAAACATCATTAAAGCCTAAATACGATTGTAAACCCGCCTGCTATGTTTAGTGGACAGTTAACGGCTGAGATCATCATCAGGGGGGAAGGGATTGTCAGTATTGTGGAGGTTAGTTCCCATCGCTATCAATATACCTTATAAGATAGACCTCCACGTGGTTCCCCCTGAAAACTATCGTGACTAATTTATCGTTGAATTCGTCACGATGGGCTAAGTGAGCTGCCTTTTCATTCTCACCAATCATCTCTCACTGGTGCCCCGCCAGCGTATACCACTAGCGCAGGCGGGGTTACCATTCCACTATCATCCATTAAAAAAATATCATCATCATCATCATATTTATAACTTGCACAGGTAGATTTCATAATTACCTATCATAAATATAACATCTAAGGGCTCAACTCAGAATACCCAGACCCATGCCGTTAATCAAACCCAGGACCTTATTTACCCAAAACGACATGCTCACCACTGCGCCACATAGGTCATTAGTTTAAATAAATAAATAAGCAATCTTTATATTAAATATATTTACATAACTATCACATATGGGTTGTCCCTCTCTCTCGCACTTGCTGTGCCGAACAGGGTCCATAATTGATGTTGAAATGTTATCTTCTAACAACATTATGGAATGCAATAAGAAATAAATAAATAAACTTACGCGTAGTAAATGAATGGTCCCACCAATCGGTATTACATAGATACGCCTTCAAATCTTCTTTCGTCCTCCCCACTATCACGGCCGGGGGAGCCACCAAGGTCCTGATTGACAGTAGAACGCACGCCACCCCAACAATGACGCCGATCCGCCTCAGCAGATACATGTCTGATATCTTCACAGCCTTCGCTGAGCGGACTTGGAATATCACTGATATCCTGGTAACAAGAAAAACAAACATGACAAAACCAAAAACAAACTGATGCACAGACAGTGGGATGGGTGACGTATAAAGATCAACGCCAAAGGATTGTGGTCCAACGACTACCAGAGGGAGACTTTGTACAAAAGTCGATTGCTTGGGCACCTCTGTCCCATTCGTGTTTCTACCGTGAAGCAGTTGTATTTGCATGGCTGTGTTTCGGTTTGAAGGGTGGGATATGGCGTGAATTTACAGGGTACAGAGGAATAACACCTGAGTACTCAGGAATGGCAACGCATGGGGGGTATCATGGGCGAAACAGTAAACAGGGTTCAGGGCCCCAGGGAGAGAAACCGGCATACAATGCGGGCAGTATCTAAGAGCACCGCTTTCTGCATCTTTCCCGGGAGGGAACCGACTCGGAATCCCAACCGTCTGAGATGTTGTTCCAGACTGGTTGGGATAAGACCGTTCATTGACAAAACGATTGGAATAATTTCGGTGGATGCCATCCCCCACATTTCGGTTGCCTCGTGAGCCAGGTCGAGATATTTTTTCTGTTTCTAAGTTTCTATAAGTTTTTAAGATTATTATTATTGTTTCGGCCGTTAATTGTCCATTGCTGGACATATGCCTTCTCCATAAGGGGAGTTTTGCTAGTAGTTACCACGCTTGGCAGGCAGGTTGGCAATCGCTAGTTTAGAGATGTTTTAAAAGGCATGCGGCATTTTTTTAAGGGATGGTAATGAAATGGTAATCCCGCCTGCGCCTGTTTTCCCTGGAAATTATCGTGACTAGTATTTTACTTTATCGTTGAATTAGTTACAATGAGCTAACTAACCTGCCTTTTCATCCTCACCAATCACCCCTCACCGGTGCCTCGCCAGTGTATACTGATAACGCAGGCGGGGTTACCATCAACTTTCATTTATTAAAAAAGAACCAATTGTCATACAATTTAAAATGGAGAAGTACGGAAGCTCTGTTTGTCCCGAACAATCAATAGAAATTGTTCAGTTACACAGGCAAAGGTGCAAATAAAAACGCATATCCTAACAAGATCTACTGGAGATTACAGTATGGGAGTCTTCAAAAAGGATATATCACGGTTTCTGTACGTGACTCCCCCTAGTGGCAACATTAGGAGTACGTACTGTAGCCTACAGACGCTTGCAAAGGTGGCCAAAAGCTACAGTGACTCTTTACCATCCGACGCTGTATGTTTTTTTTTTTAAACGCAAGGATAAACAAGCATGCGGCTCATCTAACAGTAAGTGACTACCGCTGCTTATGATCACCCGCACCACTAGAAGCATTAAACGTGTACTGCCTGCCTTTTAAAAGGAATATGCTCTTTTCTTGAATGATATTTGCCATCTTGGTGGTATGAAAAAAAGTAATAATAAAATTCGAAAGATCGATTAAAATTACATTTGAAAACTCAACGGCCGAATCAGTTTTCGGCTCGGTGTTTTATTATTCGCCGTGTATAGTACGGGGGCGATTCTATTTATACACATTCATTAGGTATGTGATGTGCGAGCCATGATAACTGAAAGGACCGGGCCCAGTGGATAGATAACCTTTAATTGATTTGTTTTTGAGAGCAAACGGATTTGGACGTAATAGATGGAGGGTAGTGTAAAAAATACCTTTTACGAATGTATTTTTTTTTTATTTCATTACTCATTGTGGAACTTAAAATATTTATTTATTTATTTATACTTTTGAACATATCAAAATTGGCCGTGTGGTTCTGGCATAGAATAGGCCACCTCTTCATTTCTAGTGGGTGTCGTAAGAGGCGACTAAGAGAGGGCGAGGCGTAGACAGCAGCGTCCTTCTTAAAACATCTCTAAAGCCTAACTGCACTTGCCAACCTACCTGCCAAGCGTGGCAACTACTGGCAAACCCCCCGAAAAGAGGCTTATGCTCAGCAGTGGACAGTTAAAGGTAGATCTCGACAATTTAAAATGTGTACAGGGCGGACTTAATGCCTGATGCCATTCTCTACCAATCAAACGTTACGCTAAACAGAGAGACTAAATGGCGGTGTATTGATCTAATAAAAACAATTTGTAAATAAAAGAAATATTTTTATAGACATAAACAGTATTATCAGTTATATTCGAATGACAAAGCCTTTCGAAACTTAAAAGTTCCAAAAGCTTTCGAATGATCGAAGCCTGATGTATGATTGAAATAAAAAATTCAGTTACAGAATAAATGAGCCTTATTGTATAGGTACTCTTTAGTTCGCTAAGAGACAACTGTTTAGGCCCTTTATACACAGCTTCAAGACTAGGGTACAAGAAGGAAAGTTCAGAACTATATTATAAAGAAAAGAAAGAAAGGAAAGAGGCAAGAATGAAAAAGGAAAGAAAAAATATGCGAGAAAGAAAATACTTATATTCAACTTGCATATAATTAGTACAGTATGTGTGTAAGGTAAAATACATTGGGTACCTTCTGCGCCACAAACAAGATGGTGACCTCCACGTAGGCCCCCTGAAACCCTTATGATTGAAATCATATGAAATCATCACAACGGGCTAACAGACTTCATCCTTACCTATCATTTCTTACCAATGATTGCGATAAAATCAGTTTTTTTGTTCTAAAAACTAAACCAGAGAACCGATTTTGATAATACTTCTATGGGATCAACCTGCTACTTGCAGGTAGGTGATTTCTTCCAGACAAACTTTTTTTTATGCAACTTAGAATAGCAAACAAGCTGACGGCCCACCTGATGGTAAATGGTAACTGTCGCCTATAGACATGAGTGGTAACATGGACATAACAAAGTATACTGTTTCGCCCATGATACCCCTACTAAAGTGTTATTCCTCTATACCTTGTAAATTCACGCCATATCCCACCCTTCAGACCGAAACACAGCCATGCAAAAACAACTGCTTCACGGTAAAAACATGAATACGACAGAGGTGCCCAAGCAAACGACTTTTGTATAAAGTCTCCCTTTTAAGTTACTAATTTGTTAAAACTCGGTATGGCTAGAGAATAGTCATGAATAGAATAGAATAGAATAGAAATCATTTATTCAAATAAACTTACATTGAAGCACTTTTGAAAAGTCATTACATTTTTTTTAATTTACCGCTCGTTCGGAAAGCTGTCTCATCACAAGAAGAACGAGCAAGAAACTTGCGTGATGCTCTTTTAAATAATTTTATTATTATTTTACATTTTTAAGTTTAATTGTGTGAATACAAACCACCAATTAGCACTAATTCAATTAAATACTCAAAAAGAAAAAAAAATTGAATACATAACCAACTGGTTAAACAATTAATAAGAGGAAATCAGTCATAGTGATTAGAGCAGACCAGTCCCTACAAGCAGCACCCGTTCACGAGTATGACGGATGAGCCAGCCATCACTGCGCTCGACCATATTTTAGGGAGCCCAATGACCCGGCCCACCACGCCGCCACAAGTCTGGACATTTTAGTGAGCATGACTACTCAAAACACTAGACCACGTCAAAGCTACTCACAATTGCCATCTGATAGTTATAGTATTCACATTTTACATAAGAATGCATGCGGCAATTAATACAAAAAACCGCTACGCTTTCATATTTCTAAAATTAATCAATTAAATCAAGAAAGCAATGAGAAAATAAAATTATAACGTTGTATGCTAATAAACTAATTATTTACTTGATATGTTGTCATCTATGAATTCGTCTATCCTGTAATAGGCTTTCTTACATAAAAATTGTTTAATATAAGATTTGAATTGCCTCTCTGTCAGATTTAATGCAGATTCCGGCAGTTTATTATAAAATCTTATGCAATTACCATAGAATGAATTACTGATTTTGTGCAGACGGCATTTAGGTAAAATAAGCTTATTTATATTGCGTAAGTTTCTACTTGTACAGTCTTTGAGTTTTTTAAAACTCGCTAAGTTCTTCCGTGTATACATAATATTTTCATAAATGTATTGTGAAGTAACTGTGAGGATATTTGAGTCTTTAAAGCACTGACGTAATGACTCTCTTGAACCCATACCATAAATAGAACGTATGGCTCTCTTTTGTAAAACAAATATAGTATTTATATCGGCTGCTTTACCCCACAGCAGTATGCCATAAGACATTATGCTATGGAAATAACTAAAATATACAAGTTTAGCCGTCGCCACGTCTGTTAATTGCCTAATTCTTCTAATTGCATATGCAGCAGAACTGAGTCTACTGGCCAATTTTGAAATATGGGGCCCCCATTGTAATTTCGAGTCCACTGTTATACCTAAAAAAACTGTATCATTAACAAAATTTACTATTTCGTCATTAAGCAATAACTGTGTATTTATTAGTCTTACATTAGGAAGTGTAAATTTTATACACTTTGTTTTGCTGGAATTTAATAATAGGTTATTACATGTAAACCAATTTAATATTGCAGACATAGCACAATTTACATCGTCTAATTGATTACTTTGACGTCCAATTTTAAACACTAACGAAGTATCATCCGCAAACAGCACTATATCTGCAATTTTCTCTACCATAAAGGGAAGGTCATTTATGTAGATTAAAAAGAGAAAGGGGCCTAAGATTGACCCTTGTGGAACGCCCATCTTAATATTAGCTCCCTTAGATTTTACACCGTCAATATCTACAGTTTGAACCCTATCCTCTAAATAAGTTCTCATTAATTTTAGATCATTATCTCTTATACCATAATGTTCGAGCTTGTACAAAAGCGTTTTATGATCCACACAATCAAATGCCTTTGATAGGTCACAAAAAACTCCGAGTGCATCCTGTGACCTCTCCCAAGATTCGAAAATATGTGTCATTAGCGCAACACCTGCGTCAGTGGTAGACTTGCCGGCGGTGAAACCATATTGCTGACTGTGAAGCAGTCCGTTAACCCTGAAGTGATGTAACATTTGATTTAACATTATCTTTTCAAACACCTTACTTAGAACTGGCAAAATAGATATAGGTCTATAGTTCCCTGGCTCAAATTTATCTCCTGAT